CGGCTTGGAGCTTCTGTCGCCGGACGCCCGGAAGGTTGACAGCGCATGTGTCCAGCGCCTTCCTGATGGGGCGGTGATCCCGGCCTCGGGTAGGCGGGCCCGGCACCGAGCGGCCTGTCCAGAGCGGCGCTCGCGATCCTGCGAGGTGGCCAGCGTCCAGCGCAGCGAGGACAACCGAGGAAGATCGCCGCCACCCTCACCGCGGACCACCTCCAGTGACATCATCGAGCTGAGGCTGTCGTCGCTGATCCCTGACTGGCTCCGGCGGGCAGCTCCGTGCCTGGGCTCCCCGGTGACTCCAGAAGCACCTCCAGGCTGGGCTTCTCCAGTGCGGCAGCGGCACCATGCTGGCTCCCTGCCTCCCAGCCCCTGCACACCACTCCATATTCCTGCCCCGACAATCTGCACGGTGGAAAACCAAATAGAGATGAGCCCTGTGCCTGCGGTTTCGCTGGAACAGGGCGAGGTTGCTGGCACCCCCCTCTTTGTGCCACTGCCTCCCACCATTCTCCCGACGCCCAACTCCACCCCGCCGAGACCGCCAACGACCAGAAGGAAGACTCTTGCGGGTGTGACAGGTTTGAACCTGATTCGTAGCAGCCCAAGACTGCAGGCAAAGAACAAAGATATGCCAATCGCCCAGCTGGCTGAGAGGTTGCTTTGCCAACGCATGGGAGTGGTGGAAGAGGGTGAGATGATCACTGAGGCTGCTATCAACAAGTATGTGGCCCTCTTTCGTGGGCAGCTACCGGACATCGCCATTGCTGCTCTTCGAGCACTATTTAGGCTTGACTGTGACCTTGCCGCAGCAGTCGAAGATGCCCTTCTGGACCATGGTGGAGATGCTGGCCTGGAGCCCCAAGGCCAAGGCCATGCCGAGGTAGCTGCTTCTGCTTCTGCCTGAAGCTGTTGCTCTGCTCCTTAATGTTGTAGCCCAGTTTAGATGATTAGTTGTCTAAGTTATGAAGACATGTCTGTAGTGTTAGTGGTGCTTGTTTGTAGCAATGATCCATTGCTACCTGATGTTGTTGCCTTGGCAAGGCTAATGTGTACGCCGCCTGCTTGCAATGATGTAGCTTATGTTTGCAATGAATGAGAGTCTCTCAGTTCTAAACTGGAATGTTCGCGGTCTTAACTGCCCAAATCGTCGCGCCACCGTCCATGAGACCATTGCTGCTACCCTGTGCAACGTTGTGTGCCTCCAGGAAATGAAATTGTCAGCGGTCGACCCATTCCTTGCATCTTTCCTTGGTGGCCAAAGACTGAAGAACTTTGCTGAGAAGCCGACGGATGGAACAAAAGGGGGGATTCTTCTTCTATGGAATGAAGATTACATCAAGCTGGACAATATTTCTGTTGGAAACTTTAGTATCTCTACAAAAATCACCCTGGTCAGCACCAACACCTCCTTCAAATTCACTTCGGTCTACGGACCTACAAGAAGCAACCTTAAAGATGCGTTCTTCCAAGAGCTATTAAGCCTGAAGCCACAACAGGGTACAAGATGGCTCGTCGCAGGTGATTTTAATCAGATTTACCGTGCCTGCGACAAAAACCGCTCTAACATTGACCATAGTCGCCTTGTTCGCTTCCGAAGTGCCCTCAACTCATGTGAGCTAAAAGAGATACATCTACAGAATAGGAAATATACATGGAGCAATGAGCAGGCCAACCCGACACTAAGCAAGTTAGATAGTTTTTTCTGTAATGATGATTGGGATGTTGACTTTGGCTCTCACATCCTTCATGCACTATCGTCCTCGCTCTCCGATCACTGCCGGCTGCTACTAACTTGCGACAAGGGCCCGAAACGACCAAAAACCTTTCGCTTTGAAAATTTCTAGATCAGGATGCCTAATTTCAAGAAAACGGTCACTGATGCTTGGAATGACCCACACGGAGCCATACCAGATACTCTTCCACAAGCTTAAACGAACGAGCCAACGACTGCGGACCTGGAGCAAGGCTATATTCTCTAACCACAAAGTCCAGCTCCACATGGCTCTCGAGATCATTCTTCGCCTCGACGCCGCGCAAGAGCTAAGGACACTCAGCCCGGCTGAGTGGAACCTTAGAAAGGAGCTGAAAAGGAAAGTTCTGGCTTTAGCGGTTCTTCAACGAGCACGGAAAAGGTTAAGCTCACGAATCACGTTACTCAAAGAGGGAGATGCTAACACTCGCTTTTTTCACCTCCGCATCAATCACCGTAGAAGGAAGAACTTCATTCACCGTCTCAAACACAATAATGGGTGGGCCACACACCATGACCACAAGAAAGAAATCATCCAGCAACACTTTTCTAAGGCCATGGGGAAGGCCCCCCGCGTACCAAGGACTTCAACTGGGACTGCATTCCGCATTCGGCTCTTGATCTTGTGGAGCTAGGCAACCCCTTCACCGAAGAGGAGGTCCACGCAGCCATCAATAATCTCCCCGGTGATAAGGCGCCGGGGCCAGATGGCTTCACCGGAGTGTTTTTCAAGGAATGTTGGGACATCGTCAAGCCGGACATTATGAGAGCAATCAACAACTTCTCAACCCTCCACATCTCCAACCTCCACTGGCTCAACTCGGCAAATATTGCCCTCATTCCAAAGAAAGAGGGGGCAGAGGACATTTCTGAGTTTAGGCCCATAAGCCTCATCCATGCGGTTGCCAAGATCATTGCAAAGATGATGGCCACACGTCTCGCTCCTCACATGTCCGACCTCGTTTCCAATACGCAAAGTGCTTTCATCAAGAAAAGAAGCATACATGATAACTTTATGTATGTCCGAAACTTGGCACGTCGATTTCACCGCAACAAATCACCGACCCTGCTCTTCAAGCTAGACATCAAGAAAGCGTTTGACTTGGTTAGATGGGACTACTTGATGGATTTATTGAGACATCATAATTTCCCAAGCCGCTTTCGAGACTGGATCTCCGCCCTTTTATCCACGGCCTCGTCCAGAGTTCTTCTAAATGGGGTGCCTGGGGACCCCATTTCGCACGGATGTGGACTTAGGCAGGGGGATCCCCTATCCCCCCTCCTTTTTGTCTTGGCCATTGACCCGCTCCATCACATCTTAGCTAAGGCGACTGAGCAAGGCAAACTACGCCCCCTTCGGGGTAACCCCACGCGGGCTTCTCTGTATGCCGATGATGCGGCCATCTTTGTTGCTCCTATCAAAGAAGATATCCAGTTCTTGGCATCCACGCTCGGCTCTTTTGGTGAAGTTACCGGGTTGGTCACCAATTATAACAAAAGTCATGTGGCTCCCATCCGTTGTGCCAACATCGATTTGGATGGGATTCTTCAGGCCTTCCCGGCGGTCCGGGCCACCTTTCCCATGAGATACCTTGGCCTACCGCTTACGGTTGCAAGACTAAAGCGCATCCACTTCCAATATCTAGAAGATAAGGTGGCTGCCAAGCTCCCGCCCTGGTCGGCCATACATGTGGCTACCCCGGGGCGCATCGTCCTGGTCAAGGCTCTCCTTACGGCGATTGCGATATATCACCTCACCCCGTTGGACCTACCTGTAGAAGTGAGAAAAAAGATTGATAGTCTCAGACGTGCCTATCTCTGGGCAGGATGTGATAAGGTGACGGGAGGCAAGTGCAAGGTGAAATGGGATCTAGTTTGCAAGCCCAAAGTTCATGGGGGGTCTAGGTGTGCTCAACCTGGATAAATTTGCTACTGCTCTACGCCTCCGTTGGTTGTGGTTTGAGTGGGTGGATCCGCCAAAACCATGGGTCCGGATGGGAACGCCTTGCTCTGACAAGGATAAAGATCTCTTTGCGGCGGCCACGACGGTTACCATTGGTGATGGCAACAAGGCTATTTTCTGGGAATCCTCTTGGCTGAATGGTTTTCGAACCAAAGACATCGCGCCTAAAATCTTTGAGATTTCAAAAAGGAGGAACTGTGTGGTTAGCAAGGCTTTGGACAACAATTTTTGGATCAATCAGATCGACACCACACAGGGCCTCACCTTGACGCACTTACAGGAGTTCGCCAACCTCTGGGAGATGGTTGCCGGTGTCACTCTAAGCCAAGATAGACAAGACACTATTTCGTGGAAATTCACTACCAGCAGAGAGTACACGACATCCTCGGCTCTCGGCGGGGATGGCCCAATTGCAACATTTGCCCCCTTTGCAAGCAAGTTCAAGAGTCTGCTGCCCACCTGCTATTTCAGTGTAGATTCACGAATAGAGTTTGGAATGAGATTACCATTTGGCTGGGAATCCACGACTGCTCACCGATGATTTGACGAAATGAAGTTTCGGTTCGAACTTGGTGGCAAAAGGCGGTGAGCAACACGGATCATAACAGAAAGGCTCTTGGCTCCATTATGATGCTTGTCTCATGGGAGATATGAAAAGAACGAAATGCCAGAATTTTTCGCAACGCCGCGACTCCAACCACACTTATCGTCACGAGAATTAAAGAGGAGGCCCGCCTGTGGACTTTGGCTGGGGCCAAGCATTTGAGTAGGCTCATGTTGCGAGAGTAGTCTTTTCTTTTGGTCACGTTGCGACATATGTCTGAACCTCCTCTCTTATTTAATGAAAATGGCAAATCTTTTGTCTGGTTTCAAAAAAAAAAGTTTTTACCAGTGTCACAGCCAGAAAGAGAATGCAATACAACATCTCAATTTGTCGGGCTAAAAGGTAAATTTAGTTAATATGTACAGAAAGATGTTTTTCTCTTGACCAGTATGTATCATTTTTACAGCAGGGCCCAGGACTATGATAATCCACAACTACCTGAGGCCGTTGTTCATCGTCGTAGAAACGAATTCAACTTTTACACATCGCCTGAACTAGCATATTATCCTCAACCAATGAAGGCGTCCTTTGGATGGAAGCTTTATACATGTCTAGTATGGGATTCCGGGATATCTGCAAAAGAGAAGACCATTATGTCGGTATTTTTCGCGTGATAAAGCTTCGCTCAACATCAGGAACATTTTCAGAGACATCCTACAACTGTAACAGAGGTTGCAATTTGACTACAGGGGAATGATCCTATTATAAAAAAACAAATATTTATCTGTTAATGTAAAAATATTCTAACAAAAGCAGTGGCTAATTAGCACATCGAGTCTGCTGCACTTACCAATTATCGTTGTTACCAGCATCTTCCTTGTGAAAGTTTCCATTAGTGTTTTCTGAGCTAGGCGACGGCTGCATTGAGTTGCCTGGGTTCTGTAGCAGTTGGGTAAAACTCCGCCATAATCTTGAAGGCAGAATTGGAGCAATTTCCTGCTGCTCTTCAGATGGCACTTCGTACACACCAGCTGATCCCGGACTCAACTCAGAGAACCTTACAGCTCCAAGAAGTCTCTCGGGGAGCTCTGATTCAGCTTGACTCTCAATAACAAATGCTAAATCTATAGTCAGTGTCGCCACGTAACCAAATGCCAGATGAACAATTGCATTTGCAACTATGGAAGACCCAATATCCACATCAACTTCGATGAAGTTTGATCCCTCGACATACTTGCACGAAAGTGCTCTGCCAAGTATGCAGATGGCTTGTTCACCCACAGCTTTTCGGACAATCCAGGGCCCCTTAACTATGTTTGCTATCAGTTTAAGCCTGGATTTACGGAGAGCATCGTCCCCTTTAAGGAATTGATCCATCAGCGAGCCCTCGGGTGCAGGTTCCAGTGAGACAAAGTAAAATATCGCGCTGTAGTTCTCCTTGCTGGGCAGTTGCAAGTTGAAGGCCCAGACAAAAGGTTTATTGCCGTGAGAAACCTCCTCATCGATGGCTTTCCTCACACGATGGTTCCTGTTTTTCAGGACCTCACAGATTTTTACTGGGCCTTTGATCCAATCAACTCCAAGAGGCTTCAGAAGATACTCCCCACCAGGTATTTTTGCCTTGGTTGCAAAATATTCTGGGCCTCTGACCATAGAAGTGTCACCAGGAGGAGTAGCCCAACCATTAGGACAGTTTTCGGGCGGTAGACAAGGAACTGCTCCTCCTGACTTGACACTCTGTATCCATTGGTGCTCAGCCTCACCATCAGAACAAGCCATCTACAAGTAATGCTAATCTTAGTTCGCGGAGGAATAGGGGGCAACCTGGTGCATGTAGCTCCCGCTTGCGCAGGGTCCAGGGAAGGGTTCGAAAGTTATAAGCATCTATCGCCTAAACATGACATTAGTATTTGCAAATAATCATTCACTATTTATGTGTATCAAATCCTTCGCAGCCGTGATCTATTTTATAAGAATCAAATGAAGCAGGGAGTGAAAAGTGATCAAATGGTTAACAGTCACATATCTGAGACACATGCATTGATGCCAGATGCCCTTCAAGAAGTGAGCGACACCGCAGTTACAGATTGTGGATTTTAGCAACAACACAGAAACAAACTACACATATATACAATTCAAACTTGAAACTGTAAAAAATAAGGGTATCTAGTAGCAATTGCAGAAGACGCAGCAGCTCTCACAATGGTTGCATTCTGGTAAAGAAGGAACTGCATTAGGATATATACTACACCAGCCCTGGTACTCCTGTAGCATTCTACTAGTACTTTGCTCCACTATGCAATCCAAGCCTGAAGTATTAATACAACCAGATAAGAGATATCCAAATCGACAACTTGCATTGCATCAATTAGGTTGTATCAATATCGACCCCTAACTAGCTAATTTTTTTATATCTTTCTCAATTAACACTTCCAGTGCTGCAATCTACCAAAGTACAAACCCTGCGAGCCGTGGTTCTCCAATTGTAGCAAAGAGAATCGCATGTGTGGCAATCGAATCAGATCAACATCTAGAAATAGCAGGTAAAGAATCTTCTTCTTTTTCTTCGTGTAGTTACACAAACAAAGCTCTCCCGGTGCTAAACAGCTAAAGAATCCAAGCTCAGCTCAGCTTCTCCATCAGCAAGAACGACTTCACACTCCACAGTCAACTTGAGACGAGACCAAAAGGAGGTTAGCCCTTCTTCTGTCGAATCAGGTTCCTGAATTCAGACGGATTCATCTCCGCCGATCCACAAGCATCACTACTCCCCACCAAATTTCTCGGATTTTCTAGAATTAGGGTGCTAAAGCCAACGAAAAAGCAAAAGGATCCGAGGGGCAATAAGCTCACCGAGAGGATCTTGTGCTTGCTTGACTCCCTTGAACCGGGACCACGGAAGAAGCAGCAGCTCTTACTCCCTTGTTCCTTGCGATGGGATGGATGAATCGTGCTCGGAAGGGAAAGCGAGGATTTGCGGGTGGCAATTTGGAATTTCTTGCGTGGGGGTTTGGAATTTGTTGGGCTTGCTTGGCTTGTCGTCCGGGAAAATAAAGATGGGAAAGACACCGATGATGTGACCACTGAATATACCTGATCATTATGGTTCAGCTTCAGATTATAGTTGGAAATTAAAAATACTAAATATTCGTTAGTGGATTACTGCCCCGGCACTCTACAAGCACCAGCTAAATGTCCGTGAGTTGCCGCCGACTAAAAAATTTGCATAACTCTACTCTGTTACTATCGAAGGGAAAATTAGGATTGTGATTCAATATTCATTACTACAGTGATGTGAACCCACTTATATTTCTTTATGGAGGAAGTATTAAATAAGAGAGTTCAGACAAAAACATTGTATCTAAACTAATACATATTCATCAATGGACCGGACTGTTCAATGTTACTCACATCAAATTCTCATATTTACTAATTAATTTTAATCATCTCCACAACACCTTAATAGCAATGATTGCACCTGAAACAAATCATCACATCAGTCATAATTTTCATAAGGGGCCCGCAAAACGTTTGAATGACAACCGAGGAGGAGTTTCAAATCAGTCGGGCGGGAGATTGGACAGGAGAGAGGAAGGTGGTGTGGCAAGGGGGAGCACATTACGCCTACCCTGAGTCCAGAGAGGCATGTAGCCTTGGATCCGTCGCCCAATCCACAACGGGACGGGGATCTAGTGGGGGCGAGCCAGGATCCCGACGCACGTGTGGCCCCACAGGACCCGCTGCAGCTCGCGGACGTGACCGGGCCACCAATGGGAGCGGTGCTAGGTGGCCACGCAGATCGGGATCAAGAGGGACCGGCCTCGCGGGTTGAATGCCAGGTGGATGGCGACAAGGGGGGCCAGGAATGCCAGGAGAATCACGACAAGGAGGATCGGGCCGGACCGACTAAACAGGAGTCCACAGAGGGCCCAGGTGCTCGGGATCCGAGAGGGGACCCAGCAGATCGGGTTCCGAGCGAGCCCACACAGTCACACACAGCGGTGCATGGCTCGGTGGTTGGAATTAATAATTCCACTGGGGCGGAGGCACAAACGAGGATGGCAGGGCCCCAGGGTGATGGGAATCATGCACATGCAATGAGCACGTCCGCCCCGCACGTCGTGGATATGGTGCAGCAGGTGCCCTTGGAGGAGGGACTGCAGCTGATCGGCAACGATTGCACAACCTTAATGTGTGCACCGCAGAGTTGCGAAACAGTGGGGATGACTGCGAACGAAGTGGTGGCATATGGAGAGCTGAAAAACTTCTGCTCGAACATCATCAAACGGCTCGCTCCTTCGCTGCTCAAGGAAGTGCAGGCGTCACAGCTCAGGCCTGACGTGGAACCGTTCACGCCCAAGAGGACCACCAGGGCATCTAAGAAGACCACGGCGACCAAACGGCCAAGGGAAGCACCGGTGTAAAACGTGTTGCTCCATGCCTTGGGCATGGTTCCAGACAATCTGGAGGTGGACGACGGAGTGGTACACGAGCTCAAGGAGCTGTTTGATTCGACGCTGCGTGAGCAGCACGTTCGGATCATCGCGGCGCTCTTCGGCAAGACGATCTCGTCCCCGGAGGAAATGGAGGCACAGAACGCAGTTACAGTGTGCACTTAGCTAGGGCTACCTAGCGGAGTTGGGGTTGTAATTCTTCATGGATTTACACCCACAGGCGATATGCTGGAATGTTCGAGGCTTGAACAATCCAGTGAAACGCAAGGCGGTGCGGGAATTCGTGAGTAATCTTGAGGTCAACTTAGCTTGCTTGCAAGAAACTAATTTGGATGTAATAGACAACTATTTAGTTACGCAATGTTTGGGACCACCGTTTGATGGTTTTGCTTATTTGCCGGCTATAGAGACTAGAGGGGTGTGCTTCTAGCGTGGAAGAGTTCGGACTTGGAGGTGGAGGCCATCCAGATAGATACTAACTTTCTGACGGGTCGGGTACGCACCAAAACAGGTGATCCTTGGTGGATTTCAGTTGTCTATGGACCGCAAAGCCACAAGCAAAAGTGTAACTTCTTGGAGGAACTTAGGTTAAGGCGTGTGGTCTGCCCAGGAGCTTGGCTTGTCCTCGGTGACTTTAACATGATCCTCCGAGCTTCTGAAAAGAGCAACACCAATCTCAATAGGAACATGATGAACAAATTTAGAGAGCTTGTGGAGGACCATCAATTACACGAGATGTACATGCATGGGAGAAAATACACATGGTCAAATGAGAGGGACTCGCCTACCCTTACCAAGATCGATAGAGTCCTCATGACATTGGATTGGGAGCTGGACAACGCGGATCACCTTCTGCAAGCGCTGTCCACGGGAGTCTCGGATCACGCGCCTTTGCACCTCACCATGAGTGCGGGCTTTTGCCCCAAGAAGCGGTTCAGATTTGAGCTTTTCTGGACAAGATTGGAGGGTTTTGAGGATGCGGTGAGGGAGGCGTGGGTGTGCGATGACGTGATTGTCGACCCGTACAAGAGGATGGATGCACTAATGCGCAACTCGGCTGTAACCCTGCAAGCCTGGGGCGAACGCAAAATTGGGAACGTGAAGCTTATGATGAGGGTGGCTACATGGGTTATCCAAAGACTGGACATAATGCAAGAAAACAGAGCTCTGCACACCATGGAGACCTGGCTCCGGCGAACACTCAAGCAGGCGCTACTGGGCATGGCGGCACTAGAGAGAACCACTGATAGACAACACTCCAGACTTCGTTGGATTAGAGAGGGCGATGCCAACACTAGATTGTTTCAAGCAATGGCCAATGGTAGAAGAACCAATAATTTTATTGCACATGTCAAGCCGGGCGCAGAGATTGTTACTGGTCAAGAAAGGAAAGTGGAGGTTTTCTCGGATGCTTTTGAGAGGCTGCTGGGGACTGCGCGGGTCAGAGAGCATACTCTAGACTTGCAATATCTGGGTTTTGAGGCCAAGGATCTCCAATGCTTGGAACAGATGGTCACAGAAGAGGAAGTCTGGCAGGTGATCAAGGAAATGCCTCCAGACCGGGAGCCGAGGCCGGACTGCTACATTGGTGCTTTCTTCCAAAAAGCTTGGCAGATTATAAAGCATGACATCATGGCAGTAATTATGAAGTTGTTCGTTGGAGACACTCGGGGTTTTGCTAAATTGAACAAGGCTAACATCATACTCATCCCCAAGAGAGCAGACGTAGAAGAAATTGGAGAATTTAGACCCATTATCCTAATCCACAACATTCCAAAGCTCTTTGCCAAAGTTCTTGCCAATCGGCTCCACTTGCAAATGCACGAGCTTGTCGAGATGAATCAATCTTCCTTCATAAAAGGACGGCAGCTCCATGACAACTTCCTTTTGGTGCACCAAGTAGCAAGGAAAATTCATGCGAGAAGAACTCCAGGTGTCTTCGTCAAGTTGGACATCTCTAGAGCTTTTGATTCTCTTTCCTGCCTTTCCTCTTTGAGGTGCTGAGAGCGAAGGGATTTGGCCAAAGGTGGTTAGATTGGATGGTAGTGCTATTACATACAACCAGCACCAAGGTGGTTATTAACGGGTTGCCAGGGAGAAATGTCATACATGCTTGTGGTCTGAGACAGGGGGATCCGATTTCACCCTTGCTTTTTATGATAGCCATGGAGGCCTTATCTACCCTTGTGCACACGGCCATAGAGATGGGAGTGCTTACTGCCTTTGCTGGAATCATGACAACACAAAGGCTGTCTATTTGTGCCGACAATGTTGCCATGTTCACCATGCCCACAGAGCACGATCTGGCTGCTGTTACTGAGATCC